ATTATTGATTATAAAGTATATTTATTCTTCCGAAGAGATGAAGGTTTGCTCATCTTTGTTAAATATGTGAGCTCTCTAGCTGTTTTAGTGGTGACTCTTTTCCAGTACCCCCATGGCCACCAGTCATGGACAGACCACCTAGAGAGGAAGAATGCCCTTGCTGGTTTGCTTAACTTTCTTTTCCCGGCATCTTTCCAGATCCTCGAGAGCGTGTGAAAGAAGATGACTTAGATGTTGTTCTCAGCCCACAGAGACGAAGCTTTGGAGGGGGCTGCCACGTGACAGCTGCTATTAGCTCCCGGCGCTCAGGAAGCCCATTGGAGAAAGACAGTGATGGGCTCCGCCTGCTTGGTGGACGAAGGATTGGCAGTGGGAGGATAATCTCTGCTCGGACCTTTGAGAAGGATCACCGTCTTAGCGATAAGGACCTGCGAGACTTGAGAGACAGAGACCGAGAGAGGGACTACAAGGACAAGCGTTTCAGGGTTTGTCTTCTAGATCCTCTGGCACCTCGTGTGTTCACTTCGTTTATACCGGGTTACCCTGAAATGCTGGGTGAACATAGCCTGTTGTTAAGCCAGCGAGAGGAACAGAGAGCTGGGGGTTGGGGAGGGGCTTCAGGTCTATAGCATAGCATCTTATTGTACTACTGAGCGTTCTTTAATTCATCCGTCCTTGATTGAGGTAGAAATGCCGTAACTAGAGTCCTGTTTTTTATTTTGCATTATGTACTTTTCCAGAGGGAGTTTGTGGATAGTAAGCGTGTCTTTGAGCGTAGAAGAAATGATTCCTACACAGAAGAAGAACCAGAATGGTTCTCAGCTGGACCCACAAGTCAGTCTGAAACCATTGAGCTGACTGGCTTTGATGATAAGATACTGGAAGAAGACCATAAGGGGAGAAAAAGAACAAGGCGACGGACAGCCTCTGTGAAGGAAGGTCAGCAGAAATTTTCAGAGGAAAGCTCACTGTTCTGAAATGAGATGTGCTTATAATTGGCTTAATTGTACACTTAGGAATAGGCACCAGTGTTAAAAGTGGCAAGTTTTTAATGTTGAAGCCTGATTTTGAAACTTCTTCCTGAGTGTGAGTTCAGTGTGTGTAGATGGTACTGTCTCCTCAATTTGTCCTGCCTGCAGTGCTAAACAGAAAAGTCTCCCATTACCCAGTAAGAGCACTGTGTACACCAAAGGGTTCCCCAGAGGTAAGAGCATGTGATAGAAATAATGAGGGGTCTCATTTATTGAGCATGTATGTACTGGACACGTGGTAAGCGTTTTGTCGATATAATCCTACTTCTGACAACCCTGTGAAGCAGATATTATTGCGCCCATCTTACAGATGAGCAAATGGAGATGCAGGCAGCTTATGTGACTTGTCTGTGGACACTGAAGAAGTGAGTAGGGAAGTTCGGAGTTGAACAAGATGCTGTGCTTCAGAGCCCACCTCCTTCACCATGGTGTTAGGCATTCATAGTGTTGTCACTTGGCTTCTCCCAAACTCACTTTTCTCGGGTATCTTCCTTGCTAAACTGAAGAAGCCAGAGCTAATGTGCGAGGGGTACCTGGTGAAGGGTGGGGGCCCACTAGTCGTGTTCAGAGCAGTGACCAGGCTGGTGGTCTTGAGAGGAAACAGGGAAGAGGCAGCTGGGTAACCTGGGAGACTTTGCTGTTAAATTGCCTTTGAGAGATGCCTTTGTCTCACACTCAGACTAAAGCAGCACCAGCAAGTGTGGTCTTTTCACCTCATGGTAAAGATCAGGCTTCTGATGAGAAAAAGCCCATCTTTTTCTTAACTGAGATGAAATCTGAATTTCAACCATTCTTGTATCAACATGGGAGGAGCCAAAAGTAGCAAAATATATCAGTAGTGTCACCTCCTCACCTTACAGATGCAAAGAGACAGGACTGGAAAGAGGTGACAACCAAGACCCTGTCCCGTGGGTTTAATGGCAGTGCCTCAAGTATCAATAGAATCTAAGGGTCTGGGCTCTCTCACCCCATTGGTTAATTGCCCTAGCTACTGTGTTTAAGATAAACAGGTACTCTAGTTGCATCTTGGCTGCAAGAACGAAAGGACTGGGAGGGATGATGAGCGCCTTTGAGTCCATTTATGTCTGTGTTCCAGCTTTCCATTGAACTTGGTATGTAGAGTTCTCTGCAGGCATGTAATAGTGCTGGGAGTATAGCCATGGACAAGACAAATGTGTTCCTTGCCTGCATGATTTTAATACAGGTGTATGTTGAGCACCTACTCTACAGGGCCCATTGCTAGGTATGGTACAGATGGTGATGAATGAAACAATTTGAATATGTATTTCACTTATAAACAAAAAACAATTATGTAGAAGGAGGAAATGGTTAAAACCCTCCACTGATAGAAAATTTTAATTTGTATTCTCTCTAATGAAAAGTATATGTTCATTCTGGACTTCCTGGCAGTCCAGTGGTTAAGACTCCACGGGGCATGGGTTCGATCACTAGTCGGGGAACTAAGATCCTGCATGCCGTGCAGTGCAGCCAAAAAAAAAAAAAAGAAAGAAAGAAAAGAAAAGTATATGTTCATTCTGAAATGTGATAATAACACTTGCCCTTAGTTATCTTTCCTGGGTCCCTGGCTTTTGAGACTATCACAATAAATGGCCAGTTGTGTTTGTCTGCTAATGCATGTTCCTACCCACTCTCAGTTGTCAGGCCCAGTTTGCTCTCAGGCTGGCATAAAATTACACATGGGGCACTTCTGCTGCTTGCATCTCTGTTAAGAGATGTTCTCATCTCAACACAAAATAAAAGAGAATAGGAGAAATGCTAAAGTTTTTTTGTAAGAGTATGAACTAAGTACAGACTCTCTTCTGGCTGTCATCCTAAAGTAGGTAGACAGGTTCTGGTGGGTTAAATGAGTTAGAGAGAAGCACTGCTCTAGTGGAAAAGGACACAAACTTGGCATTGATTAGGATATTAAGTTGTTTACCTTTTCTAGGGCTTGGTTTCTTTGTAAAGTGAGGAAAATACCTCCACCAAAGTAGTCGTTTTAGTTAAATGTCAGTCTTTAAGGAACATCGTTTACCTCTGCTGGTTGGCAGTACGTGTGTGCTGACCCACTGGAGAGGCTGCCCGTTGCCTTGTCCATGGCTCATAAACGTCCGTCTCGCCAGTTGCCTTAGGCCCTCAGAAGGCCCAGGGTTCTGAGGCAGCAGGCACCTCTGTGGAGGGGCAGTGCTGCCTTACACACACAGCACAGCATGGAAGAGCACTGCTGGCCCACCTAGGGTTGAAGTTTCTGCCACCTGCTAGCATTGAGACCTTGGGTAAGCAAGCCACTTGACCTTTCCGTTGTTGTCCCCTGCCTCGCTGTCTAGCCTTTTGAAGTGTTATTGGAATGAAAGCAGATGATAGCATTTAGCCTCTCTTGGTCTAGAATATCCTGGATGAATAATGAGACTACAGTCCTGTTGGGGCCTTTTGAGAAGGGGTGGGTCCAGGCTTTGGCACTTTTTTTTTCCTAGGAGGACTTCATGTCTGCTGTGATCTTGAAACTATAGGCAGCTTTTACATTGGTGCTTTTGCAGGGAGGGGCTTTAGGAGTTCTGTTCTTCAAATTAAAAAGTTGATTTTCCAGTATCTCAGTGCACTTATTTTAAAAGGAAAAAGTCTGTTTTTATCTGAAGGATTTTGCCTTTTGCCCATCCTCTGGCTAAAACTAAGATGTTAGCTTCCGTCAATGGAAACTTGGTAGCTTCTCTTAGACCTTATCTTCCCATGCTAACAACCAGACATAACTCAGTTTTAAATGAACCAGGCACTGCAGAGTAAGACAAAGCTGATGAGAGCAGCTTTCCTGCCTCAGAAAGCTCAGTCTCACCAGACTGTTCCTATAATATAGTGTGATAAGTACTCTGAGAGATAACACAAACATTATAGAGAAGGCGGTGATTAATTTTTTGGTAGGGTAAAAATGGGTAGGCAGTGCAGACTTTGTAGTGGAGGTGACATTTGAGCTTTGCCTTGAAGGATGAACTACAGTCAGTAGGCAAATGAAACTTGCCCTTGGACTAGGTTTCACATAATACCTTAGGTTGCTGAACCCTGACTTAAAGTGGTGATGCAGATGCATGGGTGAAAGCAGAGCCAAATTAATTTCATTCCATTTTTAAGCAGTAAGAGAGGCTCAAAAATTGTCCTTTAAAAAAAAATTAGAAAAAAATCCACTACATTATAGAAAACTTGAAGAATGGGCAGAGGAGGGATCATAATCCTTCCTAAATCATGTTGGTGTTCTGACTTGTTATTAAGTCTTTTTTCCTCCTCTAGCTCCCATAGGAAGGGAACTGTTTTACTGTTGCAAGTGCTGCACTGGCACAAGAAGTCTGCTTTTAAAGTCATCTGTGGCTCTTCTGCATGTGTGATGATGCTGAGGCCACAAAATATGTCTGGAGCAGTTTACATGATCAGACTGTCTTTGTCCGGTTTTGCTTTCAGGCGTGGTCGAGTGCAATGGTGGGGTGGCCGAAGAGGATGAGGTGGAAGTCATCCTTGAACAGGAGCCTGCTGCTGATCAGGAAGTGCCAAGGGATGCCGTCTTGCCCGAGCAGTCCCCAGGAGAATTTGACTTTAATGAGTTCTTTAACCTTGATAAGGTGCCATGCTTGGCTTCGGTGAGTGTAGCAGCATGCTTATAAACATGGATGGAGCAACTGTAGGGTTAAATTTGACCTGAGTCTTTAAGATACCTCTTTTTAAAGTTTTGTTTTGCTAGACGATTGGGAGTTTTTTGGCTTTTATTCTTTTTTTTTTTTTTTTTTTTTTTGCGGTATGCGGGCCTCTCACTGCTGTGGCCTCTCCCGTTGCGGAGCACAGGCTCTGGACGCGCAGGCTCAGCGGCCATGGCTCACGGGCCCAGCCGCTCCGCGGCATGTGGGATCTTCCCAGAACGGGGCACGAACCCGTGTCCCCTGCATCTGCAGGCGGACTCTCAACCACTGCGCCACCAGTGAAGCCCTTGGCTTTTATTCTTAAATATTATTTGAATTTTTGTTGGCTTCGTTTTGAGAGGCTAAGTGGAAATGACTAAGTGAGAATTCTATACTAGTTAACTTTTTCCAGGTTGTTAGCATTGGATTAAGAATTCTTCAGATGTTTAAGAACATTGCTTTTATTTTTAAGTTGTTAAGTGTTTGCTATAGAGCCTTATTGTGGAGGTGGATTTTTATTACTGATCAGTATCATACTGATCTGCATTCCTTGGGTAAGGCTGGTTAGGTGGTACCTGTGTGATGTGATGGTTCCGAAAACCTTTCATGAAAAGGAATGTGGGATACTATCACTGTTGCTGTTAAACTGTTGAGGTCTAATCTTTCTCGACTTTTAAAGTAGAAACGGTAAGACATCCCAAATCTTCACTTGGTACCTGCCCTTGCTCCTGTCCCCTTTGGCCATTTAGGGATTAGTAATGCCTCATCAGATTTTTGGAGAAAAGATAAAACTGTGGCCTGTGCCCCCAGAATTGAGATTTTTCTGTGGTTGCTGAAAGAGTGCATAGGACTGATGAAATAGAATTTTAAAAACCATTTGACCAAAAGCATCTGTACGTCCCAGATGTTCTTTACAGGACATGAAATACAGCAAGTAAGTTTGACCAGTCCTTTAGAACTAGTGGTTCTAACTTAACTTACTCTACTCCTTAACTGTAACTGCTTCTTGTTTGATCATTGCATGAGTGGACAAAGCTGGGCATGACAGAGAGGCATGCCTTTGTCATTTGCCTGCCCCCAAAAGCCTAAAAGATGGCCACCTGGAATAGGTGAGCAGACACTGCATAGCACTGATAGGTACAGGGCCACAGGTGAGTTCTAGGGCAGTACTTCTCAAATTCTCTATGGTGAAGGCCAGGTTTTATTTCCAATCCATTGAGGACCAGTACCTTAGTATAAAGTACAAATATCACAGCAATGCCCAGTTGCTATAAAAGTTGCTAAGCATTTACTCCGACTCTCAGCTTACCTCATTGTGGACCAGCTTGGCCCAAGACCACACTTTTCTATAGCACTGTTCAGGAATATGTGGAGGGCAGCTGCAGATCAACCAGCAGCTGCGTGGTTTTGCTCCTTAAGTTCTAGCACAGTTTTAACTAAGTCCTCTAGCCAGATACGTCACTTACAGTGAGGTGGCCAGTAGTCCTTTGGCTCACTATGAGTGGAAGGGTTGCATCCAGATATGAGTTTAATTTACTTGATGTAAAACTGAGTGACCCTCTCAAATTCTTAGCTTTTGAGGGGACAGTAATTTTTTATTTTTATACCAGCTGTGTTTAGTGACATTTTTTTTTTTGCATTCTCCTAGAAGACAGATGGAAATCTTATTGTAAAAAGTTTTCACAGCAAAAGGTCAAAATTTAGAGGCCTGTACTTGGCTCCAAATGTGAGTACCTGTGAAACTTACCTGTGTAACTAGGCAGAGGAAGAATTCAAAACTAAACTTTTAATAATAGGTAACATGCATACAGTGCTGATTGTTTTAGGCTTTGTATCCAATAAGTCATTTAATCCCCACAAAACTCTTGTAAGTTAGATTACTACTGTTTCTGTTTTACAGGTGAGGAAGGCAGGCACAGAGAGGTTTAAATAACTTGCCTAAAGTCACATAGCTGGTTAGTAGTGGAAACTGAATTCTAATTTTTGTAGTTTCAGTTAACAGTCTTTACTCCTAATTCCCCCCAACTATACTGCCTATAAAGCATAAAAGGGAGGAATAGGAACTCAGCACCATCTTATCCTTTGGCCCTCACCCTCAACCAAAACTTGGTTAATTCTGAGAAGGTACCTGGCTAGGAAATCTCTCCATGCTTTTCATGGAGGTACTACTCATTAAGGTGTATATTCTATAATAGATTCACTTAAAAGCAAAGCTGGGATCAGTAAAAAGAGATGCTCTGGTTGTGCTGTATAACCAGCTGGACTCTATTATAATGCTCAGAAAATGACCAGTCAATTGGGAAAAAGAAGGGCTATATAAGATTTGAATATCAACTGACAAATGATATAAACTGTTTGAGGTATAGTACCTGGCACTTAGTAGGCCCCACAGATGTTGGGTATTAATTGGCATAGACAGAATTACACCTATATTTTTAAGCTATATTTACTGGCACTGCAATACATTAGAAGTTGACAGCCACGAAAATCTGTACAAAATGAAAATTTAGATCACATGTGCAAATAATTTCAGTTATGTAATTAAAAATAAGCTGATTTTAGATATGCAGCTCTTACTACAGTACCTGATACATAACAGGTACATAGAAGTATTTTGTTTTTGTTTTTTTTGCGGTACGCGGGCCTCTCACCGCCGCGGCCTCTCCCGTTGCGGAGCACAGGCTCAGCCGCTCCGCGCCATGTGGGATCCTCCCGAACCAGGGCACGAACCCACATCCCGTGCATTGGCAGGTGGACCCCCAACCACTGCGCCACCAGGGAAGCCCCATAGAAGTATTTTGAATGAAGAAAAACGAAATCAAAACAAATCCTAAACTATGTAGAGTGATGAACAGGAGCATGACATAGAAAAACCTTGGTGAAATAATCAAAAGTGTGCTAAGGTGAAAGTGTGTAGCCTTAAATGCATTCATTACAAATCCAAAGAAAAATCAAACTAGAGTGAAACAAATACAAAAATATGGAAATTTCCATAAAAGTGGAAAGTAATGAAAGAAAAGCATTGATTAGTAAAACTTAGTAATTGTCAAAGAGCAAAAATATTTCACAATATCTGTATCAGAATAATATGAATCCTAGGATATGACTAGTCTAAATGACCCTTAACGGACCAAACTAACAGTCATATAGGTTACCTTAAAAATGCTATTAAAAATGTAGTCTAGAAAGAGCAGCTGAAACATACCAGACTGCAGTTCACAGTCTCCTCTTCTTGACTAGCTTAGGCTGTGGGATGTAGCAGCAGTCAGCTGAGTACCAATGTGCATAAGGGGAGGGAGGGACTGGTATTAGAGTATCCCTGCTGGCTCTATGGTAAAAAATGACTGACTAGATAAACTCTTAAGATTCTTTTTGGGTTCAAAATGCTCTAGCTTCTTGAAATTGGCATTTATAGTAAGTGGTGTGTAAAAGCGACTGTCTCTACTTATGTTTTAGCTATAATAAAACTTAGCTTCTCTAACAAAGTTGGTCACTGATCAAAATATGGAAATGACTTTCTTAACACTTACTGTCAAATCTTTAGAAAATGTCCAGATACCTTATATTCACTTCCTTTACTTTTTCATGTTCCTCCTGGGTATCTTCTGGCTTTTTTCCTATACAGTATGATCAGAGGAAATAAAAACAAAGTGCAAAGCTATTTTTACTATTTTTAAAATTTCAAACTCTTTTCAAAATTAAAATATTTTAAAAAGCTGTAGCTTTTACTTTTAAAAATTCCTGTTTATCACCAAGGTGGTTGGGTTTTGGGTACAATTCCCAATTTTTCACAGTGAAACATCACTATAATGCTTCTCCTATAATTTAATGATTGCAAATTAGTGGACTTGAAAGTCAGCATTTGCTGGCACAGCCTGTTTGTTTACAATCATTTTGTATTCATGTCTGCAGGGTTTGCCAGTACTTGTCAAAGCCAAATCCAATAAAAAAATTGGTCTTTGCCCTAAAAAAAAGAAAAAAGAAAAAGTCAGCATTATTTAAGGTATGAGAGTCTACAAGTGGAATGTGATTGAAACTGTTGAATAATACCTAAGAAAATAGAAGTACCACAAGTAATCAATGTCTCGGTCTTGTGTTCAAGAGAATTATTTGTGGCTTAGATTGGGTATGTGTTATGAGAAAATTCTTCCAGATAAGAATAAAAGAATAAATCTAACCTTCCACTGCTGAACTTTGACTAGAAACTGGGGGTTTTAGACTTCAGATAAAACAAAGTCCCTAACTCTGTCATCTATGTACCAGTCTTGAGAAAAACCTGTTTTCTGTTTATGCCTTATTGTCAAGGATGTGCCTCATTTGGGGATTGATATTTGCTTTATCTTGTCTTTTCTAAATATTGATAAGAGAACTGCATAAAGGTCATTTTGGATATTTAATTAGATTTATAATAGGGTACAACTGAAAATTTCATTTTCAATGCTTAAATTTAGTTTTTAAGAAGGATTGGTAATAGAAATTGCTGTTATGAAACAGCGTTGAAGAAATTACTTCTGATCATAGTGCATCATTTAATTGCTCTTATTATTAAACCAAAAACTATGGAGGTCAGATTTAAAAGAAAATGAACACCTGAAAACTTTCCATTAAGTTCAAACAGATATTAGAGATCAATTAAAAGTTCATCTTTCACATTCTGACTTGGACTTTGACTAGGAAATATGACTTGGAAATATGATCTTTATGAGCTCTACTTTTTAGCTTTTGGGTTCTGAAATTGTCAGCATTGGATTTCATGATGTTCATTACAACCTTGAGGTTGCTGAAGTCTGAAGCAATGGTTTTCTTTCATCAGCTCTCCATACCTGATGCTTAGTTGAAGGTCACTCATCAGCTTGGCAATGGAATGCTTTACTCTGGTGCTGATTCTGATTTCAAAACTATACCCTCTTAGAACATTGATGGATTTTCTAATGAGGCAAAGATAGAAAACCAGAACACTTTCTATAGCACAGATGTTTTGCTTTATATGCTTAGAGAATACATGGTTGGTTATGCCCAAGTTTGGGTTACTCAGAAATGATCCAGGAGGGGAAGAAAAGTTAAAGATGATCAGAATCCTAAGTTCTGAGGGTGTTTGCCTTCAGGTCAGCAGCATCAAAGGAAGTTTCAAAGTAAGTGACCCTTTCTTAAAATTTGAACCTTCTTGTCCTTTTCACCTAGAAACTATTATCTTAGCTTCTTTTATCTTTCCCTTTAGATGATAGAAGATGTTTTGGGAGAAGGGTCAGTCTCTGCCAGTCGATTTAGTAGGTGGTTCTCTAACCCGAGCCGATCAGGAAGCCGATCCAGCAGTCTTGGGTCAACACCACATGAAGAGCTGGAGAGACTTGCAGGTAAAATTGCTTCAGGTTCTGGTCTTGGATGTAGACTTGAGCTTTCCCTGATATGGTTCATTTTGTCTTCATTAGTCAGGGGTCCATTAAAGGGTTTCTGGATACTGAAAAAACCCTTCAATTGGTGTCCTTTTAATACTGTTGAAGATATGTTTCTGTGCTTTATTGGGACCAATTAATTATGAATATATTTACTTGCAATACTAGGTCTGGAACAAGCCATCCTCACTCCTGGACAGAACTCGGGGAATTATTTTGCTCCTATACCATTAGAAGACCATGCTGAAAATAAAGTGGATATTCTAGAAATGCTACAGAAAGCCAAAGTGGATTTAAAACCTCTCCTTTCCAGCCTTTCTGCAAATAAAGAAAAGCTTAAAGAGAGCTGTAAGTTTTTATTAGAGTCTGCTTTAGATATTTGAAACATTTGGATGCTCTGTCTTAATGGCAGAATTGGTTCTAACAGACTGCTATCTCATCAAAAGTCAGATAATGGTGGGTTTTGTTTAATGTTCTTCAAAAACACTTTTTATCAAACAGTACCACCTCTTTGAGAATCTGGTAGTCACTGGGTCACAAGCTCCATGGTAAGAACTTTTCTTCTAAGTCCTCCTTACCTGGAGCCTGAGTATAACACTCCCGTGAATGTTGTAGTCCTCCCGAGCATAACTTGGCAGCTCCTCACGCCTCTGCCCCAGTCTGCCACGTTCTTGCTTAGGTTATTAAGCCCTCAACATACAACCTTCGTGATACAATAACCATAGTGCAGGTAGCACTCTTTCTCATGTTGGGCCATCTGGGATTCCTGTCCCTGGTAATAAGTCTCCAAAAGACTCATTATAAGAAGTCCTCCTGCAGGATCTCAGTGCCTTCAGTTTGTCTATTTTTGGTGTCAGCCTTTTCTGACCACCTCACTTCAACTGTGAAATAAATTATTTTCACCTTAACCATCATGGTATACAAAGAGAATTCCTACCACATATTCCTTTACTTCGCTTAACCTGGACTTTTTTCAACCTTTCAGCACATTCAGGGGTTGTGCTTTCAGTGGAAGAGGTAGAAGCAGGGCTCAAGGGCTTGAAGGTGGACCAGCAGGGGAAGAATTCAACTCCCTTTATGGCAGAGCATTTAGAGGAGACCCTGAGTACTGTGACCAGCAATCGACAGCTCAGAAAAGATGGAGATATGACTGCATTCAACAAGCTAGTGAGCACCATGAAGGCAAGTGGGACTTTGCCTTCTCAGCCCAAAGTCAGCGTAAGTATTTGGCAGAAACCCCAACCTTTTCTCCTTTTCCCTCTTTCTATTCCACTTCCCACCCAATAAATGGCTTTTAAAAAAGGTATTCTGAGTAAGTTGGAAATTCTTTAGTAGTCAGTTGGTCCTTGCTACTTTTGTGTGTTTTTTAATTATCGCTATACTGTTTGTTACTTGAAAAAGCAGGCTTGTGGTTAATCTGTAGTTACTGTGCATGACAGTACAGCGATTGAAAGATTCAGACATAACTTGCTTATCTTAACTCACTGCTGAAAAAAAAAGGTGTAAACATACCTTTTTGAATGAGCTCCAGAGAAGGTTTTCTGTTTATTCAGCTACTTAAGTTAAAGTAACTTACCATATTTTTAGAGTAAAATCTTTTCACAACTTCTAATTACTCCCAGATACCTGAGATTACTTGCTTTCTTGATTAGGCAGTTGACAGGTATACATATCATTTGTAAAGTATCTAAGATGAATTTTTCAGGACAGCTGCATTCTGTTAATTTACTAATAAAAAAAAGCTGTGACTCCAAACTTATAAAACACCTTTAGACATGAAGTTGGGTTACAAGGTGACTGCATGTCAGTAAATGCAGGTGTGTAGCACATACTGGTCTTTGTCATAACACATTTAGAGGGCGCCTCTCAGCCATGGTCTATGTGTTACTGTTGCTAACCCTTGATGATACAAAGTGAAAGGGAAATGGTAAATCTGAGTAATAAATAAAAACATAGACTTACTCTAGTTGCTATGTTATAGCAAATTTACCAAACTGAGTTTTGCCTCTTGTTTTTCCTGACACCTTCTTGTCTGAGAGCTATAGGTTAACCATGGGAGAAGTAGCTGTTTCATTGTGCCTTGTACCAGTGGAGGGCAGCTGATTTTTGATGTTTCTTTTCTGACCAGCTGTTAGTGCTAGATCCTAACAGACGCCATTGTTCCTGGCCTACCTACCTGACTCTCTGCCTCTGAAAGGAGGCATCTCAGATAGGTATAAGATAGACATATTTCTGTGTATCTGACCACACCATGCCAGTAGTAGGGGAATGTTCCTTGTAAGCTGCTTTAGATAATTTCCATGCAAAGAATTACTAGATATAAATGCTTTCAAATGAGGACCAGATTACAGGACTGCAGACTATCCTGTTCTGCTTTCTTGTTATTGGGTTGGCCAAAAAGTCCATTTGGGGTTTTCTGTGATTTAACGGAAAAACCCAAACAAACTTTTTGGTCAACCCAGTACCTTTATGTCATGGTGATTACGTGCTGACTACAGTGGTAGGGGTCAAATCTTGTAAATAGCCACTTTTAGTGTAAGTAAAGAAATGGGAGCAGGGGAATTCAACAGTTTACCTGATGCTTTTGAACATCTTCTTTCAGATATGATTCTAGGGTTTGATATTAACACAGTTGACCCGGAGTTGTGAGGATAACTGGTATGATGTTGGGGTTTCAGTGCTCTGAAATATATCTGGCTTCAGCTGAGGGAATGAGCCTCAAACACACGCATAAAGGAATGGATGATATAATTTAAGGTGCTAGGCAAAGAGTAACACAAACTCAACCTAGAAAAGAAAGCAACAAGAAAATAATGTAATAAATGCACCAGGCATTATCCCAAAATATTACTTGATTTGCATATTGTTGTTTAAGTCATGGAATTCTTCCAAGCTTTTAGTTACTGTGACTGTGTTATGTATACTGTTTCTGATCTGCCTCTGTTTTGGTTCAATCATATTGTTTATCCCCAAAATAGGACATGTTGGTTCAGTCTAAACTCTATTTCAAATTAAATTGTAGACACTATCCTCCAAATATAGTAAGCCATGTAGTATAAAGTTGCCTATTTGTTTTTTTTTTTGTTTTTTTAAATAAATTTATTTATTTTATTTATTTACTTTTGGCTGTGTTGGGTCTTCGTTGCTGGGCGTGGGCTTTCTCTAGTTGCGGCAAGCAGGGGCTACTTTCCATTGCGGTGCACGGGCTTCTCATTGTGGTGGCTTCTCTTGTTGTGGAGCACAGGCTCTAGGCGCACAGGCTTCAGTAGTTGTGGCGCGCAGGCTCAGTAGTTGTGGCGCACAGGCCTGCTCCACGGCATGTGGGATCTTCCCAGAGCAGGGCTCGAACCTGTGCCCCCTGCCTTGGCAGGCGGATTCTTAACCACTGCGCCACCAAGGAAGCCCGCCTATTTGTTTTTGTTAAACGGAATTAAATGACTCTTGAGGAGATCTTATTAAAATCATTTACAGTCAGTTCCAATTCCAAAACCAGCAATGGAACACTTGGATATCTTTGGGCTATTTGTCACTCCCGAGGACATTGCTGTGGACCTTGGCAGTTCCAGCTTGTAGAAGGGAAACTGACAGAGAAAGCACTTCAGGCAGAGCTAAATGGACACAAGGATGTCCTGAAGCACCAGAGGTAATATAAGTTCGATGCAAAATATAACTGCTGCTGCATTAAAAGAGCTAAAAGTGGAGGGTATGAATATTGCCCTGTATATGAGACCCATTTGGAGTAGCTTGTTAAAAAATAATAAAGTTTAAATTTCCTGAAATATGAAACTCTGAAATATAACAATTTTGGCTAAACTCACATGTTGTTACTAGGTTTTTCGTACCATCTATGGTCTATAAATCTTGTTAAAGACAATGGGTAGCAAAGGTTGCCTCAAATTAAAAAAAAATTTCCTACTTGTGGCTTCTCAGTAAATAAGTGTTCCCCTGTTTCACCATTTTCTTTTCCCCTTCTTTTGGTCACAGTGTTAGAAATAGTAAAATGGACTTAGGGTTACCACAGAAAAGACCTTGTCTGAGGGTCTCTGAGTGGACTTTGCACGTACATGTGAAAATTCTTTCTGTTCCGAGATCTTTGGGACCTGTGTGATGAGAGAGTGGGACAAGTTGATCTGACTTTTCTGTGATATGGACATCATTCTGCTGTTAAGTGCCAACTCCCTGGGGAGTTTTTATGTTTTCTTGTGGTGGTCCCCAATTAATAAGTTTAGTATGTAAGAAGGTTAAAACCAGTTTTCGTTTGATTTTTTTAGCGAACGCTTGAAAGCCATTTGATGTCCCCTGCTGAGATTCCAAGCCAGCCTGTCCCTAAGAACATCTTGCAGGTACTTCACAATCTTATACCGAGGACTTGGAGTCCTGAACAGTAGTCCTCTGAACTGGTTTTGTGTAGTGGTCCACCTTTGGCCCTTAGAGAATGATCCATGTTGCCCGGCAATGAAGGATACGATGTTGCTGCCTGACATAGTTCTGTGTCGCTTGTTAATCTCAATGTGGGGTGGGTAGGTGGCTAAAAAAGATGATGAAGTAAGCGCTTGGTTTCCAGTTTGCAGGTTTGCAATTTCTATGGAAATTTGAAGTATGTAACTTATATTTGTAGCACTAACTTAAAAGAAATGTTGGTAGCTGAACATTCAGAGAAATTTGTTGAATGTACATGTGCCAAGTCCTTTAGTGCAACAGGAGGGAGATTCATCATTGGCAACCTCTGACTAGGAGGAAGAACTAGGTTTGTTCACAAGGATTTGACTTTTCTGCCTTTAGGAACTTCTGGGTCCACCTGTTCAGAGACCTGCTTCTTCCAATCTTCTGAGTGGCCTTATGGGGAGCTTGGAGCCTACGACATCTTTACTGGGCCAAAGAGCACCCTCTCCTCCCTTGTCACAGGTGTTTCAGACGAGAGCAGCCTCAGCAGACTATCTTCGTCCCAGAATACCATCACCAATTGGTAAATGCTTTTGTGCGTAGATGCCTATCTGTTATCATTTCCCCTCCCCTTCCCCTAGGTTATACCTCTCCCTTAAAACTGGCAAAGTCTTTTTCATGGGTATCCTTGAAGAGTTTAAAAAGAAATGTGTTAATTTGTTATGATTTTTTCAGGGGGTGGTAAGGACACAGATGTGGAAGATAGTTTATTATCCAGCTGCCCTTCTAGATAAATAGGTTCATGTTGAAGTTTTGTACTTTTTCTCTTGAGGTTGATCTAAATTGGATCCAGCTTTTTAGTCATCTTCCTTATTTTGGGAATTCAATCTAGAAAAGTTAATTTGGCTCCGTAGGTTTTTCCTTAATAGAGAAGTCAGAGTAGTGGCTCTCCACCAACCTGGTGAAGTTGTACACGACCAACTGGGAGGTCTTGTGGCTAATTCAGAACATGAATGGAAGAAGCACTTCCAGAAAGCTGTCTTAGCAAAGTGTTGTACACAATCTCAGTGTTCCTGCACCAGCGACCACTTTAGGCTGCTGGCTGCTCTGGCCCCTGCCAGTCATACCTTGAGAGGAAGTTTTTGTAATCTTTCCACAATTAGGGAGATATAATGGAAAGAGTATGAACCTCAGAGCACTGGCCTCTGCTTTGGTATCAGATGATGTGGTTGCAGTGGGCCAAATCACTGGCTAGAAAAGCTATTCTCTCCCAGATAGAGGTCTCGGCTCTGAAAGAAACAAAACTGACAGCTTAGCTGGGAAGATAGATACCAGCAGTTTGAGTCATTAAGTGCTCTGATTGAGGTCCACAGAAGAAGAGAGACATCATCAGCCCAGGAAATCAGTACTTCCTGAAAGAGATGGTGTTCAGTGAGGAGCAGCATGCATTGGTGATAATGCCTCTTGGAGGGACAGGTGCTATCTTGACACTCACTGAATCTTTAACCTTCCCAACAGGTTTCACACCAGGACCACAGCAGCTTCTCGGAGATCCATTCCAAGGCATGCGCAAGCCCATGAGCCCTGTCACAGCCCAGGTCTGGCTGAGCTCTTTCTCAAACTTAATCTGTTGCTTGCTTTTTACCCTTATTGTTGCTTGTGGGATAGAGAATTAAATTGCTACAATGCTTGGAAGTGGTTTTGAATTATAACTCAAGCTCAGTGAAGGCTAGAAAATTGGTGAAATTATGTCATACTTAAATAGCTAAAATTCTGTTCAGTGGATGGCAGCATAGTTTAGTCAGGTTTGCAGTATCTAATTTCTCTCAGCTGCTGCTTAAACATACCTTTCCCAAAAGAGCAAAGAGAGACCTTTGTAGAAAGTGCACTGACTGTCATTCTTCTGCTGACCCCCCTCTGCCACTTCTGTTCAGCAGATGAGCCAGCTAGAATTGCAACAGGCAGCTTTGGAGGGACTGGCCCTGCCACATGACCTTGCAGTGCAGGCAGCAAACTTCTACCAGCCTGGTTTTGGCAAACCACAGGTGGACAGAACCAGAGATGGATTCAGAAACAGGTAAATTATTAATCCTACCCTTGTGGAGATTTTCAAATTAGTTATCCATAGTATAACTTCTGTTTTACACACTGATATATTATACAATATATGGTGACAGTTCCATCTCCTGAATGTTCAGTAGAGGAAATCGTATGATTGAATTCTAGTGCAGGGGCATAGGCTTTTCATCCTATATAATTTTATTTATATTTTTCATTTAGCGGATTCGTTTTTACAGATGTAGCTAGCATAGCTACTTATTTGCAGTTATGCTTATGAAATGATGAAAAGTAAAACTACACCTAGCTTCCTCCCCCTCAGATTCCTTGTTGAGTATCAAACTGTGCCTTGATTCAGGTTTGTTGGTCAGAGCTGTTAACAAATGATTACTGACTTCACTCTCCTCCCATTCTCTCCACTAGTTTCAACAAGTAGTGAAATGAAATGAACCATAAGTTGGGGAGGAAAGGGTAGCAATATTGTTCTTTTTTATTGTAAAATAAAATAAGCAGAAAACTGCATGAAGCAAATGTATGGCTTATTGTAAGGTAAACTCTTGTTAGCTACCCAGAAGCCCTCCTTGTGCCTTATCCCGATAATACCCCTTTTCTCCAGAAGTGACCATTGTCCAGTCTTTAAAAGTAATCACCACCTTCGTATTTTTAGTTTTATCACCAAAGTGTGCATCCTTGAACGCTGTACTCCTGCCCCATATAGTATTTGGTACTTAAGCCGTATTTGTTTTGATGTGATTATTAAAATTGCTGTCTCAGTGTCTTCCTTTAGCTGGTTTTGTATGTTGAAACTTTCAGAAAACATTGGGACCAGTAAGTACCCCATTCCCTTGCATAAATGTATCTGATCTATAGCCCTCAGCCTAAACAGAGCTCAGGACTGGTCTGCCAAGCCCCTTCACTGGACTTCTCTTTACAACGTAACGATTTGTTGACCTTCAAAGCACTTTTGATATCCACAATTTAATTTGCTCTTGGCAACAACTCTGTGAGGTAGATGGGGTAAAGAACTGCATTTTACAGATACAGAAACTTAGGTTTTTAAAATGTGACTTACTTGAAGCTAGCAGGTAGATCCAAGTCACTGTCAGTGGAGCCTTCAATTTTTAGATCAAATGGCAGGCCTTCCCTGAATACCCTGTACACAGTTGTGTCCCCCAACAGATATGGTTTCTCCTTGCCTTGCTTTATTTTTTTATTGAACCTATCACCTTCTAGCATATTTTTTTCTGTCTCCCTGCCCATAGTAACCCCTCTACCTTGCAAACACAAGAATGTAATGAAGCCAGAGATTTTTGTTTTGTTTACTGCTGTATCCCCAGCACCTAGAACAGTGTCTAGCACATAGTAGGTGCTTAAATATGTTTATCAGAAGGAATAAATGATAGGTCGTGCAGAACCACCAGATTGGAGGTTACCTCTTAGTCACCCAGAGTACTACTGTCTCTCTCTCCCCTTGTCGTCATACTCATAGAGTCTCAGGGTGGCAGCACTGGCGCTTACCTGGTACAGACTGGAAAGAAGCCATGAGTTTAGGATTCCCATCTGCTTATGAGTCAGAGAACTTCCAGAATCATTGACTGTACTTGGAGCTTTGGCCTTTGCAGAACAAGGTCTGACATGGCTGAAATGCAGTGAAGCTTTGATTAGCCAGTGAGCTCACATAGTTCATTCTTGTCTCAGCCTGTTTATGTCATCATCAACTGTTTCCTGTTTTCTTCCAAGTTAAGAGAGAATAAGTAGGATGTCTGGGGAGAGAAGGGAAGTCTGCTCTTTTAAACTTGTATTTGGGAAGCCTGGGACCAACCCTGTGTGAGACCAGGAGTAGCGGGGAATGCTTCATGTAACTGGGTCCTAAAATAGCTCAAAGTCTTGGTGCTCTATTTGACTTGAATCAGTGTCTCACAGAGCCTCAGTTCTCTGCCAGGCACCGTACTACTCAGTGTTGCTCCCTACCTTCTGGAGCACAGCCTGCCCTACAGAATAAAGGCCCTCCCTAGCCTACCTCACTGGAATAGTCAGCAAGTAAACTACACACTAGCCCTGGATAACCCTACATTCCCAAGGCCTTCCCGAGTCCCTGTACCTGTTCCTTCTACCTGAATCATTGTTCTCCGTCTGTAGTTTATCATTGGCACACTCAATGCAGCTCCTTCCAAGAGAAGCTTTTGCAAAGTCCCTGCATCGTAGGGGTATCCTCTCATTCCTTCTACCCCTCATTTTCCCATTGTACTTTGTTGGTACCCTAATATTGACATTCCTTGTTTGCCCTAGGTTTGTAAGTATCTCCCCCACTAGATGAGAGTTCTTGCAAGGCCTGGGACCATGTATCATTAAGCTTTTGTCTTTCCTCAGAACTTAGCACATGGTCTTGCATATGTTAGACACTTATTAAATGCTTGGGAAATTGAATTGAAGAAAGGAAATGGGATGCTTCCTAGGCTGGCCTTGAGTTTTATGTGGTTTTAGAACTTGGAGTTTGAGTAGCTTGGGGCTCACACTGATAACTGGTTTGTTCACAGGCAACCGCGAGTGACCAAGTCACCAGCACCTGTGCACGGAGGGAATTCCTCTTCCCCTGCCCCAGCCGCCTCCATCACAAGCATGGTCAGTGACCTTTGCCTTTATGAATGACTCCTAGGCTTCTCCCTGTTTGGTTGTGCCTATGTTGGATCACTGTGTACCCCAAAATGTCCTTGAGTGCCTTCCACAGGAGTCAGTGATTTAATAGACTTTTATGCCTGCCTATTTATTAGGCCCTCCCCTCTTAGGATACAGTCTAACTCAGGATTCTAAGTTCTAGTGAAGCCCCTACCTTGGGGAAAGTGTGTTCCAGCAGATAGACAAGTAAGGGCCAGAGCATACAGCGTGGTGTGATATGTTCAAACAAATGAAGAATTGGAGTGGGGAGCAGGGGAGGACAGGGGTAAGGATAGGAGGAGGTGAGGTGACTGGGCTTGGAGCATGGGAAGTCCAGAGAAACATGGTGGGAGTTCACGAATTCAGATTCAGGTCTCAATACAAGTTAAGGCTGGGATAGAGAGGTTTGCTTACTTGTGGTGACAAGTCAAGTTTTACAGCCGACTCGTGTAACAGCATTATTTACCTTTTTTAGGTTTCATCCCCCCACAGACCTTTATCACCTAGTCAAAGCTGATAAGGGGAAAAGACTATTGCTCTGTACTTCAGGACCTCAAGTGGGTCTTTGCACTAAGCACCCAGAAGGCAGGATCTAAGAGCTTTTCTGTTCATAATTCATGCCCTGTCTCCTGTCATCAAAGATTTGGGATTGTTTGATGAGAAAAGTTGCATGCATAATAAAATCATCAATGTAAAAGTAGGCAATAAAGAGGTGGGAACAAATGACCCCAAATAGTGAGTACTGGTGGCTGAGGATACCTTTAAGAACATAATTGTGGATTTTCTGGTAGCCAGGTTAAGATGGGAAACATTACGAGTATAGAGAAATTTAGGTTCTGTGGTTGTCGCTGAAATGTCCTTTCCTAGCTGGGAGGGCTGCTGTTGCAGGGTATGCTTCTGGCCATGTTCTTTCCCCCTTCCCAGCCTAATCCTGAAGCAGAGGCTGCCATAGGCAGATCCCCATCACCGCAGACAGGTAGGTTGAAGCTTCTGTGCTTCAATTACCTTTATGCTAGAGCTAAATCTACGTTTTGATGAAATTGTGAGCATGGGATGGTGCACTTGGGCCACCGCCTATTTGGCCCATCCTGTTGCTTTTCTTCCAGCAGCTAGAGACCAGAACGTTGGAGTTGGCCTCTGCCACATGTAGCCAGAAGGGGACTCTTCAGCTTCAGTAGTTTGGCCAGTTGATTAGGAAAGGCATTTAAAGAATGTGTTAATACTGTTTTTCTCTGCAGCTTTCTCCTTCCTTCACTCCTACCTCAGTGATTCGTAAGATGTACGAGAGCAAAGAGAAAAGCAAGGAGGAGCCAGCATCTGGAAAAGCAGCTCTTGGTGACAGTAAAGAGGACACTCAGAAGCCCAGTGAAGGTACTGCAGAGCTGTTGAGGATGTACTGCCCAATAAAGTATGTGACAGAGCATCAGCCTGCAAAGCCCTGGGCAAGACACCTGGTTGCTTTGGACCACAGTTGTGTCTAACAGTGAGAAGGGTTGGACCAGCTCACAGTTACTTAAGCCACTTGAAATTCTGACCAATCTAACAGTGGCAGGCATGAGTGCTGGTATTAGGAAGAACAAGCATTAGTTTAGGATCCTTATTTTGGCTTGAATTATTAGTACATTTATTTGGCAAATTAATAAAAGTTCAACCAGGTTTATTTCTGAAAGGTTCTCTCCAGTCTGTGGAGACTAATCATCTAATAAAATCTGCAATGAGTGAAGCATATAGGAGGTGTGTGAGAGCCTTTTATAAATATGTAGAAAATGTAAGAGGTTTTTAGGGGTTGCACAGTTGGGATTTTAAGGACATAGTGAAACATTCTAATGAGTGAGGTTTACATAGGTCTAGAGTATTGGTCTGAGAGCTTTTTGCCTGTGAGAAAGCTTCTGAGAAAAAAAAAAAGAAATCCTGTTGGTCCTACTAAAAGGCAGTTCAGATTCCTTCACCAGACTATAATTACTCTTTAAGCTTTCTGTTGTGATGGATTTGCATAATTTTACTCACTTGATTTTCCCCTTAGACTAAAAAGCATGTTAATCCCAAGCAGCTGACTAGGATAGGACTAGCTCCCACACAGATGCAGACCACAGGCATATGGGCAGACCAGGGTGCCCAGCTGAGTTAGACCACCAGACCTGATATGCCAGGCTTGCTTGCCCATAGCTATTCCTGGATTGGGAAGGTTATAAGAACAAAGATGTGGGCTTCTTAAAAGTTATCTCATTTACAACTTCAAAGTCTTTGGTTTTTTAGAGTGTAGCAAAAATAAACTCTTGCAGCAAGGTGTTGGAAGACTGGAAAACTTGGGGTCTACTCCCAGGTCTGTCCTTAACTACCCATGACCTTGACTAGGCCTGTTCATAAGGCCAAACGATGGTCCCTACGATGCAATCCTCTAAATCTGTTGAGGGGATCAAATAAGGATTGTGAGCTTTCTAAGAAGTGAGTTACTGGATCATTGGGAGGACAATGTGTTTGAGAAAAGTTTGCCAATACCAAAATATTCTCTTTCTGGATCCTTACAGAGAACCTCCTGTCATCCAGCTCTGTGCCCACTGCTGATCGAGACTCTTCTCCCACTACAAATCCCAAACTATCAACCCTACAGCGGTTTTCATGTTCCACCCCACTATCACAGACCAGTCGTTACACCAAAGAACAAGATTATCGACCTAAAGCAACTGGGAGAAAAACACCCACCTTGGCATCCCCAGTTCCAGGAACACCTTTTCTCCGCCCTGTCCACCAAGTCCCCCTTGTCCCCCATGTCCCCATCGTTCGGCCTGCTCACCAGCTTCACCCAGGGTTGGTCCAAAGGATGCTGGCCCAGGGAGTACATCCACAGCATCTTCCAAGTTTGCTCCAAGCTGGTGAGTTTCTGACCTGGCATGATGACAGTTGCTAGAACTGATGGTTTTCATCCCTAAAAAGATGTTACTAGGTTTTTTCCATTTTAACCAGTGGGTCCAATCTGATCTATCCCTTAGTCGATTAAAAGATTGGAACCTAGCATTGAGCATTCTTCATTCTTAATAAACTTTCTGATTAGCAAAACTGTATAGTTAGGCTTGAAAATTTCCAGGTAGATTATTTCTCACCAGTTTCTTCTTTCTGCCCAATAGGTGTGCTTCCTCCTGGGATGGACCTGACTCATTTACAGGGACTATCTGGCCCAATCCTGGGTCAACCCTTTTACCCTTTACCTGCCACTAGTCACCCTCTCCTAAACCCTCGTCCTGGGACACCTCTGCATCTGGCAATGATGCAACAGCAGCTACAGCGCTCAGGTAAGTTCAGAAATGGGCCAGGTGAGCTGAGGATGGGCTCAGGCTTAAAGTTTTTGAACCAGTTTCCAGTGAAGGGGATAAAATGACACTGACCATTCACCCTAGCAAGACTGGGATAAGGGTGTAATCAGAGAATAGGATGAAGTAAACCGACCTCTGTGGGATTTGGAATTCCTGTGAAGACAGTGGGAGAGCCAGGTGTGCTCTGGCTTTTTTTTTTCTTTTGTCCCTTTGCCTCTTAGGAGAGGAGGCTGAGAATCCTTCTGACAGATTCAGCATAGGGACTGCCGAGAGTAGATGCTCTCTCACCAGTTTATGTCATTGTTTCTGCTTGTCTTGGGAAGTAGTGGGCATGTCATCTAGGATGGGCTCTCAATATGGATTGCTTCTGAATAGCTCAGCTTTCTTAAGGTACTGTCTTCTGGCATTTTGCAAAGGAATTTCCTAAAGAAGCCTAGAATCAATCACGTGGTAAAGAATTCTGTTTGGAGTTTCATGGATAGGATTTGAGTGAAGCAGGGCCTGCTAGAGAACTACCTCCCCTCCTTGTGCTCTGAATGATAACGTTCTTATCGCCACAGTTCTTCATCCTCCAGGGTCTGGTTCCCAGGCAGCTGCTGTCAGCGTTCAGACGACGCCTCAGAATGTGCCCAGCCGGTCAGGCCTGCCTCATGTGCACTCCCAACTAGAGCACCGCCCCAGCCAGAGGAGCAGCTCCCCCGTGGGCCTTGCCAAATGGTTTGGCTCAGATGTGCTACAGCAGCCCCTGCCCTCCATGCCCGCCAAAGTCATCAGTGTAGATGAACTGGAGTACCGACAGTGAGCAGGGCAGCAGGCTTGTCTAAGCCTGGACCTTTTGGTGGCACCCTGGTCAGGACTCTGCTTCCTCATCTCATGTTGGTTTATGGGCTTTTACTTTGTAGCACTCTGTGCGAAGCTGTTTAAGGGCACCCAGGTACCTGGTGTTGTCTGCATTATGATGGAAGGAACTTATTAACCAATCGAGTGGAGCCTACATGGTGTGAATACAGGATGCAGTGTTGTCAGTCCTGAATACAGGAAACAGTCTTTTTTTGTAAGATATGTGAATGAAGTGTTGGTGTCTTCACCAAAAGGTGGCACCTTAAGGGTTCTGAGGAAATAAATGTATAGACCCTTATGTACAGACCTGTGTATAAACAACTTTTGTACATACATATAGGATAGCTTTTTTGAACTTATACAGCTGTACATAAAAGTAGCTGATATTAGTTAAGCCTGTGTCAACAGTTTGGACTTTTTTTCACTTGTACATTTGGGACTTTTTCTTTTGGTTGATTAAAGTTGCATATGCTAAGTGTGTGAATGAAGTGAATGGCACTGCTGTGTTTATTTCTTCCTGAATCCCTTCCTCTTCACTAGGTTCTTTTAGGGAAATTATCTTAAGTTTTTTCTTTAAAACTTATGGAATTGAACTCTCAGTTGGGAGAAGGAAACTATGGCCCTCTTTCTTGAGCCTTAAAGACCCCAATGGGCCAGTTCAGGCTGGGCTGACCTTACAGGTAGTATTGATTGTGGCTAATACCAGATGATGGTGTGCAATTTCTAAAATTAAACCCACCTAGTGAAAACTATTTGTTTACTGGGGTAAAAGTCAGCGGTTTGTTGCCTTCCTGTTCTCCAGGTCAAAGTCCCCTATAGGGAAAAATGGGGCCTTAGAGTTCTGATTCAATCCATAATTTTTTTCCATATAAAACTTCCCTCAAGACTCTGGTGCCTGTGTTAACTGATTTCTTGTGTGCTCTACCTCATTCCTCAACTCACAATTATTTTAATTATTCATCTTAACTAACTACATGCACAACATTGGAGAAAAGGATTCTACTATAATACTCTAACTATGGCCTCAAGTCCCCTTTCCTCACTTAAGGTTTTTTAGTCCCACCAATCTGAGGTGACAAATCTTGAGCTCCTCAAGTTAACTCACCCAGTATCTCGATACTTGTCTATTTAGGGCCAGCAAAGCTACTCTGACTTCATACTAGAGGGTCAAATAATGAGGCCATTCTCTGATTCACAGGTGAAATGAGCAAGATGGGTGGATTTTGAGTACAAGGGTGAAAAACAGCCTGAGTGTTAAGGGTACAGCCTGAGTGTTAAGGGTGCAGCCTATAAACCTGGAGCTGCCCACCCTGCCCTATATTCTTCCAGGAACACAAGAAAGCAGGTTGCTTTTCAACCAAACCTGGCTCTGTGGACTGAGCATGAGGTCTGTCTCTTCCTCGTACTTCAACTTCATTAGCCCTCCCTCCCTCCCTGCAGTAGGATTTGCTGAGTGATTCTTCAACTTCAGAAATAAGCCCTGTTTAGAATTCTCACAAATGCTTTGTTTCTATAAACAAAAGCTGGAAAACAATCTCAAGTAACAGTGGCAGAACATAGACACCTGAATCTAATTCCATCTTTCCTGTGTGTCCTTTCACCTTCCCTTTCATGTTGAACCAATAGTTAATAGGTGTAGAGTGGGGAGGGCCTCCTTTTCAGACTTAGAAGCTGGTATGACAGAAATGAACAAATGCAGGCACCAAGCAGAGGGCAAAGCCATTAGCCAATAACTGGTGAGATGGAGCCAGAAGGAAATAAAGGAGTGTTGCTAAGAATAGCACAGCAGAAGCTAAACGGCACAAAAACTATTTTGGTGAATGGAAGAGTAGAGGCAAAAGAGGAAGTTAATGCAGTCTTCAGGAGCTAAAAGCCAGATATAGAGTAAGGGCAATGGAAGAGTACAGGCAAAAGAGGAAGTTAATGCAGTCTTCAAGAGCTAAAAGCCAGATATAGAGTAAGGGCAGGAGGACTTGATGACATGATGTCTCAGCTAACAAGATATCTTACGTGGAGCAACTTTGGGAAGTCTAGCAGGCATGAAATGAGTTTAGAAGCAATCAAGACTGGAAGGATGTGCAAGGCCTCCTCAAAGTAAAAAGGCAGAGGGCCACAGAGAACCTCGTGGAAGTTAAGG